CAGTTCCTAGTGTCAGCGACTTGAGCTGGTTTAAGCATCAGAAGGCACTTGCAGGCTCCTGGAACTGAAAAGTCTGGTAGCTTCAGGCATGAGTGTGTGTGTATTTCATTGGAGTCTCGTCCCGCTCATGAAGAAGGCGGCATTGGGCAGGGGAGGGCAGCGGGGCCCAGGCCTGCTCCGCTGTCTCCCTCACCCCACGTGATCCACCAGCCGAGCGCCTGTTGCAGGCCCCACACGTGCATGCGGGGAGTGGGTGCCGGAGCAGACAGGCTCCCCGTCTCAGAGGGAGGCTGTGGTCCGGCAGAAAGTCACCTAATGATATTTTAGTGACATCTGCGACAAATGCTGAGGAGGGAGGGTACCAGGGACCCAGGACTGAATCAAGGGGCGTCCGGCCTTATTTGGGCTTTCAGAGAAGGTTGACTGAAAAGGGTCTTCAGGTAGAGACCTGGCAAACAGCCATTTGCCTTTCCCCTGAGTCTGGGGGTCTCCGAGCAGGGCCTCGGGGATCTGGGGGCCCGGCTGCACCAACAACAGCCTGGCTCAGTTGGAAAAAGCTCTTCCTGCGTTCCCTGCACAGGAACACTAAGCGGGTTGCAGGCACCTGCCTCTGTGCTTTTTCTCTCCCGCCCCAGGGCAGGCATGTGTGTGTGTGTGTGTGTGTGTGTGTGTGTGGCGGGGGGTGAATCCTAAGGAGACCCCCGTGGGGTGGGAATTTCTCCCTGCGAGGTGCTTCTTAAGCGAACTTGGGGAGGAAGCTGCGTGGCAGGTGAGCCCTGCAGCCCGCCCTCGTCCCCAGCGCCCGCTGCTTCCCTTCCAGCCAAGGAGAGATGCCACCTCTACTGCGAGTCCAAGGAGACCGGGGAGGTGGTGTCCATGAAGCGCATGGTGCACGATGGGACGCGCTGCTCCTACAAGGACGCCTTCAGCCTCTGCGTGCGCGGGGAGTGCAGGGTGAGTGCGGCGAGGCCGCCGCTGCGGGAGCACAGGGCCGCTGGCTCAGGCCTCGGCTTCGCGGGGTCGCTGGGAGGAGTCACCGAGGCTGAGCGTGCAAAGTGCTGGAAATGGCACCTGGATCGGGGCAGGTGCTCAGCCGATGTCACATCCCTCCCCCGACTCTCCCCTCGTGTCAGACGTTCTCAGACTTGAGTCGGAGGAGCCACCCGGGGAGCTTGTGGCTCTGCCTCAGAGATTCTGATTCTGTCGGTCAAGGCTGTGGCCCGGAGCATGAGTTTTACCAGTGACCCAGGTGATTCCGATGCATGTGGTCCTCAGGGGACCCCTCGTGAAGCACTGCCAGTCGGCATTGGACAGCTTGCTCTTGATAGGGGTGGCCCCCCATGGCTCTCGTTGGTCTCGCTCTTTGTAAACAGGCCCTGGTGTGTTTTCTGTTACTCTCATGCCTTTGGCTTCAGCCTTAGGCTGTCACAAGAAGCAACCGAGGGGCACCCTCGGCTTATAAGAGGAACAAGGGTGCAGGCTTGCCCGCTGCCAGACTCCCTAGAAGCAGCTGGAAGCCTCTGTAGTTTGTGTGGGTGAGACTGACTGTAGGTGTCGCAGAGGCCGGCTCTCGTCTTACCTTCCTGAGAGGCGAGCACCCTCAGGACTTCTCCGCAGAGAGCCTGGCAGCATGCTGCGGGCGCCTGGAGGAGGGGGGCGAGGCGGGCAGAGCAGGGAGGTGGGCTGCGGGGCAGCTGGAGGTGTGCTCGGGGCTCCTCTCCCCTCACGGGGGTTCGGCAGGACGGCAGCCCCTGGAGAAGGAGGCTCCCGGGAGGCTCACCGCGGGAGGCCGGGAGGGGGCTCGCCCAGCCTCGGTCTGGCAGGGGGGCCCGGCCACAGTCTGCTCAGACCCCAAATACTCAACCAAATACTTACAGACAAAGACAGCAGTGTCTCCCGTGTACCTGGGGACGGTGCTTAACTTATGGAGGTTACTGACTGATGACACAGGCATCAATGCCATTGCAAGAAAAACTGATTAGAAAAAAAAATTAAAAACAGCAGCAAAAAAGACAGGAAAAAAAAAGAAGGGCTTCTTACTTGCTCTTCCTGAGGGAAGGGCATGCCGTGCTGTGCAGAGCCCCGTGGGAAAGCACCAGGGTCAGCTGGGAGGCAGACGGGAGTAGGGGACAGCCTGGGCTGGAGCCACCACTGGGGCTTCCCTAGGAAAGGCAGGGCAGGGCAGAGTAAGCAGGCTTTGGGCAGGAGGGGTCTCTAGATTGCCGGCACCTGCCCCTGGGGTGATTTAGGGCAGAGACATACCGGCTTGGTGTGTGAGTTTGATGCAGGGGGTGATGGGAGGGGTCAGTTGGTTTGTGTAGGAAAGCTATGCCCCCTTTGCTGTCCCTAAGAACTGGCTGGCTAGCTAGCCCTGGGAGGGGCGGACTCTCCCTGGCTGACAAGATTTTCAAGATGTCAAAACATCATAAATAGTGGGGAGGATATAGCTCAGTGGTAGAGTGTGTGCCTAGCATGTGTGAGGACCTGGGTTCAATCCCCAGCACCTCCTCTAAAAATAAATAAACCTAATTACTCACTTCCCAAAAAACAACAACAACAAAAAAACACAAATTAAAAAAAGTTTTTAAAATCATAGCTCACAGAAAATATTTTAAAACCGTGAATGATTGCAGTAGCCCAGGAAACATTTAGTAGTGGAAGTAGCTTTAGATGCCTGCTGTGAATATGGTCCAAACCTAACAGGGAAGTGGGAACACGAATTCACCCTCTTAGCGGGCGTGGCTAGAGCTTCGCTCCTTACACTGACAACTGGAGAACAGGGTATTTCATTAATTAAGGGTGATTTTGAACAAATAACAGTAGGATAAATTTTTGCATCATTACAAAATGTTTGCATTTAGATGTGATCACATTGCAAAAGTTAGAAAACAAAGGAGAGCGAAAGGAAAGATGGAAAACACACAAAGGAAATGTGAGTAACAAGATGAAATTAGGAGTCTTTATAACACATGTGAACGTGAAACTCTTCTTTGAAAAAAATCTGGTATCCAAGTAGAAGTTGTCCATTAAAAAATATCAAAATACAATGACTCAGGAAGTTTAAAAGTGAAATGACAGCAAAAGACGTGTCAGGAGAATAAAGACACACACACACACACACACACACAGAGGAGGGAGTGAGGAATTAAATGAGGCCGTGAAGGTGCTAATTCCATGTCCAGGTTTGGGGGGTTTTTCCCTATGTGTCCAATAAGCTGTTCTCTGACACCAGCTGGGCGTCCTACTGTTCGACCCAATTCTGACACTACCTGCACAGGAAATTCTGAGGGTTTTAGGAGGTCTAGCCAGAAACTGGATGAAGACCAAATATATATTTATTATAAATCACAACATCACGGCCACTCCGGCCTGACAGGGGGTTCTCCCCTTCGTCCCTTCCTCTCCTTCCCCCTCAGCTCCATCCTTCACTCGGGTCTTACTCTGTGCCAGGCAACGTGTGACTATTTTTAAGGACCATCTCCTCTCATGCTGGCAACAGCCCTGGAAGGCCTTGCTGCTCTGACTCCACGTCCCAAATGTGGAAACAAACTTGGAGTTTCTCTGAGACTACTTGGCCAGAAAGTGGCTCTGTGGTCCCTTTGTAGTCTAGAGACCCTGCCCTCAAAGGTCTTTGTGAAGCAAATGTCCGAAATCAAAGAGCAAAGGGAAAAGAAGCAGTCTCGCAAGAGGCAGTGATGGGAGAATCGTGGTGGGGTGGAGGTGAATTGGCTCTGGGCTTCCTGGCAGCCAGTGCAAAGAGGGAAACCTGTGACGCATTCTAGTACAGACAGAGGGAGCAGACCAGCTCGGAGGAGAGATGGTCTTCCCTGCTGAGTGTGGACGTGGGTGTGAAAGTGGCCTCAGGCCAAGTGCTCAGGGTGTGGACGTGCAGAGTCTGCTCCCCGTGGAACTATGGGGCCCTGGGAATGCCTACTGTCAGCAGGGCTATAGGGAGGAAAAGAACGCGAACTTGTTACTGCTTCTGCCAGGTGGCCCTGGGCAAGGGAACGTCCCTGCTCTGTGGGGAACAATTTTCGATACTGGAGGGGACAGTGTTGAGAGGCTTGGTTGAGAGAATGAAAACGAAAGTGTTCCCACCAACTCTTGTCACCTCCTGCCCAGACAACCCAAGCAGGCTAAAGAGGACACTGTTCCGGGGGGCAGTGTGAGGGAGGGGCCTCCAGGCCTTAGCTTTGGGTGGGAGCCCGAGAGGGCTGGAGCTACGCTGCGTGGACGCCCAGGAGAGGGGCAGAGGCCAGGTGTAATTTGCGTTCACTGGGAGGCCAGCCTGTGGTGCCAGGACAGCCTCGGGACGTGGCCCTGTCTAGACTGTGCAGATGAGCGGATGAGTGACGGGGATTGGCTGGTCCCTGGTGGGCACGCAGGGCTTGTCTTGCTCCAAAGCCCCTTCTCCTTCCCCTGTGTCGGAGGCTGCTAAGAACAGCTGCCCAGACCCGGGCTGGGGAGGGAACAGGCTCCAGGGGCTGATCGGGGACTGGGGAAGGTGGGATCTCAAATACACCCTGCACCCATTGCCCCCACAACAGAAGGTGGGCTGTGACGGGGTGATCGGCTCCAGCAAACAGGAGGACAAGTGCGGCGTGTGTGGAGGGGACAACTCCCACTGCAAGGTGGTCAAGGGCACGTTCACGCGCTCACCCAAGAAGCTCGGTGAGTGCGCCCCTCCCTCCCGCCGGTGGGTGGCTCTGGCTGGGTCTGACTGTCTTGGCAGAGGTCCCGGAGCGTGAGGTGGAGGGAGAATCCCAGGTGGGGACAGCTGTGCCAGGCCTCGGGGTGGGTGGGGACAAGGAGAATGACAGGACACAGATGCTCAGGGTGGGCCCGTAGTCTTTATTTGAGGGCACCCCTCTCCAGCCCTCCAGGGCTGGGCTGTCGCCTCCCTTGGTCCCTGCCCCTCCGCTGCTGCGCCCAGCTGGCTGTCAGCAGGACTTGGCCGGGCTGCTCAGTGCGGCCTGCAGCCTGGGGGCAGCCAGTGGTCCCCACAAGACCACAGAATGGGGCTGGGGAACTTGGGGTCTCCAGCCAAGGCGGGCTCTGGGAAGACATCCCTCTGGGTGAACCCCCTTCCAGAGCCATGTCCCTGCCTGGCCCTTGGCGCTCTGAGTGGACCTGAGCAGCTGGCTGCTCTGCCTCTGTCTGAAATGGGGAGAAACCACTTTGGTTCGCCTCTTTTGGAAGAAGGTGGAGGAGCAACCTGTCCAGACTCCACTCAGAGCTGGTGCCAGGACCCTGGGAGCCTACCCTCCGCACGACCCTGCTTGAGCAAGGTGTCTTCAGTCTACAGATTGAGCTGCCAAGGTCCAGGGAGGCCACGCAGTTTGCTGAAGGCCTCCCTCCTGGCCGTGGCCTCTTAGCTCTGAGCCCAGGCGTGACTTCAGGGCCATTCACGACGGCGCCCACCAAGTTCTTGATGGGGAGGCCGGGGGAGTCCCTGGATCTGAAGATGAGCAGGAGGGCTGGGACTGGCTGGGATACTGCAGTTTTCCCATGGGCCCCTCTCTGGGTGGATGATCAGAGCCCACAAAATATTGGGCTCCTGGAACCACCTTTGAGGGCAAGGCCCTTTTTGTGTTGCCGGCATTTGATGGCCTCTTCCTTCTCATCTGGCTTTGCCTCCCCACATCTCTACAAAGGTTACATCAAGATGTTTGAGATCCCAGCAGGAGCCAGACACCTGCTTATCCAGGAGGCAGACACCACCAGCCACCACCTGGGTGAGTGTCAGAGCCCAGACAATGCGGTGAGGCTCTTCTGGGGATCGGGGGCCTGGCTGGGAGGCGTGGCTGCAGCCCCACCTCCCCTGTCGCTGCTCCGCCCACTTGGTGGATCTCTCCTGGAGTCATTTCCCAGTGGAGAGGCCAGGGATTGGGACCAGAGGGCTCCCCTGGCAGCGGCTGTGGAGGGACACGTGTCTCTGACATGACACACCTCCCCACCCCCACCCCACCCCACCTGGCGGAGGGCAGGCGGCTGGGAGACCGAGGCCTCTGCTCCCCACAACGCCCCCAACCTGCGCAAACCAGCGCCCCCTGCCGGCCTCCTGGCAGTGAGCCTGGACTCCGCCCCTGGGTGATCGTGGCGGTGGGGGTTGCTGTCTTCTGCCATCCTCAGCCGTCAAGAACCTGGAGACAGGCAAGTTCATTTTAAATGAAGAGAATGACATAGACCCCAATTCCAAATCCTTCATCGCCATGGGTGTGGAGTGGGAGTACCGGGACGAGGACGGCCGGGAGACGCTGCAGACCATGGGCCCCCTCCATGGCACCATCACCGTGCTGGTGAGTAAGTCGGGGCAGGGCCTGAGCCTCCCTGCATCCTTCACGGCCTGCCCCTTGGACCTCGGATCTCCATCTTTGTGTCAGAGTGAGGAACAGACAGAGAGCTGCCATTCGGGGCTCTGGGCCCTGTGTCAACCCCCAGGTGATCTTAGGACAAAATCTCCATAAAGTTTTAGGTTTCCACTCTGGGTGACGTTCAAGGCCACCTTTCATCACGCTTGTTCAGGTCTGCCATCGCATCCAAACCCCGCACATCCCTGGGAGTGACCGACAGTGCTCTGGAAATTAGACCCAGGTCACCCAGACTTTGTCCCTGAGCAGGACCGGACCCCAGGTCTCCTGAGCCCAGGACCACAGGCTGCTCCTGGCGACGGGAGTACAGAGGGGCTTGATTTTGCTAATCACTTTTTAAAGATTAATTTTAATTGCTCAAGTAATACATTTTACCAGTAAAAAAGTTTAAAATACCTCAGATAGTGGGAAGGGAATAGCTCAGTGGCACGGTGCGTGCTTAGCATGCACGAGGTCCTGGG